CGACAGCGTTAGATATGAAGACACCTGAAGAAGTTTGGTCGGGACATCCACCAGATCTCGACAAACTAAGAGTATTTGGCTGTGTAGCCTATGCTCACATTAGGCAAGACAAGGTCGAACCTAGAGCTCTGAAATGCATGTTTATGGGATACCCTGAAGGAGTGAAAGCTTATAGGCTATGGTGCCTAGAGCCAGGTCACAGGAGGTGTATCACCAGTCGAGATGTAGTTTTCAATGAAACTGAAATGGCTTTCAAGAAAACTGATGATGTTGACGAAGAGCTGGAACAGGTAGAGATTCCTGTTGAGGTGGAGCATGTTGATGCTGAAATGCGTATCCCAGATGAAGTCGAAGAAGAAACAGAAGATTCTGATGATGTTGAGGAAACTGTTGATGACTACCTATTGTCGAGAGATAGGCAAAGAAGAGTCATAAAACCACCTCAGAGACTTGGATATGCAGATCTTGTAGCTTATGCCTTAATCTCTGCAAGTGAAGTTCTAGACGAAGAACCTAGAGATTATAAGGAAGTTATAAGGAGTCGAATGAAGACTGAATGGCTAAAGGCCATGCATGATGAGATGAAATCTCTTCATGATAATCACACTTGGGAACTAATCAAGAAACCTGTTGGGGCAAGGTTAGTCAGCTGTAAGTGGATTTTCAAAGTTAAGGAAGGAATTGAAGGAGTAATGTCGAAGAGGTACAAGGCAAGATTAGTCGCAAGGGGTTTCACTCAGAAAGAAGGTGTCGACTTCAATGATGTATTTTCCCCTGTTGTGAAGCACAGATCCATTCGAATGTTGCTTGCCATGGTGGCTCAGTTCGACCTTGAACTGGAACAAATGGATGTGAAGACTGCGTTCTTGTATGGTGACTTAGATGAAATAATCCTGATGAGGCAACCTGAAGGGTATGTCGAAAAGGGGAAAGAAGATTATGTGTGCAAACTGAAGAGATCTTTATATGGACTTAAACAATCTCCTCGACAGTGGAATAAGAGATTCGACAAGTTCATGGAACACATAGGTTTCATTAGAAGTCAGTTCGACCATTGTGTTTACTCCAGATTTCGACCTGAAAATTCATTTGTAATTTTGTTGCTTTACGTTGATGATATTCTGATAGCAAGCAACAATGTCGAAGAAGTAATGAGGGTGAAGGCTGAACTCAATAAGGAGTTTGACATGAAGGATCTGGGAGCTGCATCTAGGATTCTTGGAATTGACATTCGAAGAGATAGAAAGCAGTCGAAATTATGCTTATCTCAAGAGGCATACCTACGAAAGATTCTTGACAAGTTTGGTATGTCGAACTCAAAGCCTGTTGTGACTCCAACAAACCCTCAATTCAAGCCGAGTATTGATCAATGTCCCAGTACTGATGTTGAAAGAACCTATATGAATAGCATCCCATATGCTAATATAGTTGGTTCTTTGATGTATGCTATGGTCTGTACTAGACCCGACATAGCATATGCAGTAAGTCTTGTAAGCAGGTACATGGCGAATCCTGGAAAGGCTCACTGGCAAGCGTTAAAGTGGATTCTAAGGTACATAAATGGGTCTCTGAACAGAGTCTTAATTTATGGTGGAGCCTTGGGTGAAGATAGTAAAGCAGCAGTCGAAGGCTATGTTGACTCTGATTATGCAGGCTGTATGGATTCCAGAAAATCTATTTCTGGATATGTTTTCACTATGTTTGGTACAGCAATTAGTTGGAAAGCAACTCTTCAGAAGGTTGTTGCCTTATCAACTACTGAAGCAGAATATATTGCCCTAACTGAAGCTGTGAAAGAAGCATTGTGGCTTGAAGGTTTTGCAAAGGAGCTGAAACTTCAAGGTCAAGGTATCACTGTTAAATGTGATAGTCAAAGTGCAATACACCTGTCGAAGAACTCAGCCTATCATGAGCGAACCAAGCACATAGATGTGAGGCTGCATTTCGTCAGAGGGGTAATCGAGCGTGGAGAAGTCCAAGTGCTGAAGGTCTCGACAGATCACAATGCCGCTGATATGATCACCAAAACATTGCCAAGTTGCAAGTTTTTCCACTGTATGCAGTTGATAAAGCTGCATGAAGAAAGCTAGTTAGTGTCTCTTGATGCTGTCGAGTTAGGTCCAAGGTGGAGATTTGTGGTATTTTGGATCGAACTCTAGCATGATCGAAGTACATGCTGTAGTCGAAGCATGTATTTGTCGAAGAATGCTTGTTAAATTAGGTTTTAGTGTTTAAACCCTAATTTGTTAAGTTAGCTTGATTATTAAGTTAGCTTGTATAATGGGCCTTGTGGAAAAAGCCCATTAGTTAGTATGTTAGGTTTTATTATAAATAGCATACTAGTCTCTCATCATTGCAACACAGCAAATCCTAATTTAGGGTGAGAGGGTTATTTGTTATTCTTGTAAACTTGTAATCTTGTTTTCTAAGAGAAAGTAAAGAATAGCAGTTATAACCAATTCTTGTGTTCTTCTTCTTCCTTGTTCTTTATTCTTCCCTTATTCTATACTTTGTTATTGGCATTGAATTCACAACAATTTCAAAATAACCGACTTCCTTTCACATATTCCAAACTATTCAATTTTCAAATAAAAATATATATGTTAAAGCAATTGACGCATGCTCCAAAATTTAATATATATATATATATATATATATATATATATATATATATATATATATATATATATATATATATATATATATATATATATATATATATATATATATATATATATATATATATAAGCAATTGGCGCATGCTCCAAAATTTAATAGGGGGTGTGTCACTTGAATTGATGTTTCTCTATTTTGATAATTTTATTTAAGTTATCTTGTAGGTTTTTCTACAGAAAATTATGTTTTTATTTTCGCATGTAAAACGCTCCATAAGAAAGCCCACGAAAAAATGAAATCCATAAAAATCTACAGAAAACGCAAATAAATTTAAAAAATACATAGGCGACGATTCAATTGACACGCCTTATTAAACTTAGAAGCAATTGTCAGTTGCTTTAACAGGCATTTTTTTTTAAAGTTGAATAGATTGTTACAGATAGGGTTGAATTTGAACCTGATTACCCGAGATCCACCTGGAAACCGATCCAATAGAATCAGACCAATGGACCGACCAAAATGTTACTCGGTCCAAAAATGAATAATTCTTTTATCTGATATCCAACAATAGAATCGGACCAAGTGTCCAATAAATATCCAACATTGATTATTATATATTCTTTCATCCAAACTCTAGATCAACACAAATTTCAGTTTGATTCAAACTATATATCCGATAAATACCTAAAAGTATTGGTACGATTTCGGTTCAAAAAAATTTTATTACTATTTCAATCCGATCTCAATTTACCCGATTACTATTTCGATCCAATTCTCAGAAGAACAAATACCTAAACCGGACCGAAAATAGACCTAGTTATAGATGATGAAAAAATTCTAAGAACAATACTTGTCAAATTTTGAATTTAAATATTTCTTCTATTTAACCATTATATAATCAATGATGTTTTTTATTTTGTACAGTAAAAAGGAAGCATATAATTTTAGTCAAATCGGTTAGAGGCAGCTCATGTTGGTTGGCAAACAAGAACTGTCTTGTCAACCTTTTTATAAATAAAGTAAAAGGGTAGTTGGTGTAGCCACCTCATGGCATCCAAGTTGCTAGTATTACAATAAGGATAAAATATGTATAGTACGTAATTAAGGAATGACGTACTCAATGCATCCTTTGGATCAATATAATCGTGTCATGACTGCGTGAGACTTGGAATCTAGCAGCACATTTTAGATTATGACTTTTTTAGAGTGGATAAGCTAATGAAAACAGGTGGAGTGTTCATACATCGTTTCTCTTGTCTATTTTGTTCGTGGCCGAATTCTGAAATTCAACACAACTCATCGTAGTTAATGTAAAATTTATTGCCCAATAGTTGACCAATACAAGGAATGTTATGCAATTGATGGGCTGAGGTTTGCAATTATGATTTCTGGTATACTAAAGAAAATAAATCAACCACCTATAAGTGAAATGGTTGCTGCATAATTTGTAGAGCATGGTATTAAGAATTAAGGATGTCACATGTAGCACATATTGAATGTAAAGAAAAGACAAATATGTGACAGCTAAATAATAGAGATTTATACAGATGTATACGAATTTAGCTCAACAAAAGTTGAAAAAACTGGCTCCAACTAACACACCTATATGCAAAGATAGAACAACTATTCAGAGTATTATATACAATAAGCATCTGGCCCTACCTGACTCTAGTCTACAAGAAACATCGATCCATTTTGCTAAGACATGACATCGGTAGATGTTTGAAGGTTCCCTACAATTGGATCCAATGTCATCCATTGCTAGGCATTGACAAGGGAAGGAAGAAAAGGATTTAGTGTTGAAAATGGAAGAGGATGATGAGAAATGAAGTGAAATACCACTAGACATTAGTCTTCCATCAATCTACACCATAGTCTAACAATCAAAAGCTAAAAGGTAATGACTAAGATTAAAAATCCTCTCTAGAAATCAAAATGGAAAGAGAAAGCATTGCGACAAAAAACCATAAGTTACTACTATAAACACGTTTAAAACTTGATTTTTCCACATTCACTTACTACCTCAACTATAATCCCACATCCACCACAACACAGATTTGCATGACCCTGTTAATCATAGATGTTAGGACAGGTAAACAAACAGTGCAATTTATTATTATATAGTACAATATGAAGAAGATTTTTTAACAAGGCCGAGTCTTCTAGATATATAGAACACTAGACAAGGATAAAACAAGCCCTGTTTAAATCATTTGTTTCTGAAACTTCGCTAGCACTAGCCATTGATATTATATAAAACGCACCAACAGTATATGCAATAATCATATTAAGTAACATAGCCATCAAAGGATAGCCCACATAACAAATAAGTTCTTCCCTTGGTGATTTCCTTTACATCTATTTGCTAAAACTTTGGGGTTCAATCAATGAGCCAATTTCTTCAAATGTTGAAAGGTCTGTTGCTTAATCCACTCTCGGTCATACGGCAAGTAAGCAAGAATTGAATTGTCATAACTACAAGTAGAAACCAATCAGTCGGTCATTAATCAATGTCAAGAAAAACCACACATGCACAAAGAAAATCCAATATATAGAAGAGACAACTACAGACATAGACAGTTAAAGTAAGGTATTACCTAAGTTCACTTTATTCTCCTACTTTTTATCTAAAGAGAGTCAGACTGGGTAAAGCAAACATATGATGCTACAAATGATTAATCATTATGTCCTTAACACCAGGTAAAAGGGGGCATGCGGAGAGGGAGGAAGGGTGTTACAAACCAGTGCCACTTTTTCTCCAGCACTTCACTCTATCAAGGGTTTAAGACCTCTTTCACACTCATAATTGCTGCCAATTTTCTCACACATAATCTTGATTGCAGCCAATTTTCTCACATAATCTTAATTGCAGTCAATTTTCTCACACATAATCTTAATTGCTGCAAATTCCATGATTCACTCAATCAAGTTGAATCATCGAAAGCTCAGTATATGCTCTCTTGCCTTTTCTTCTCTTTTCTTTTCACTGAATATGATTTTACATTTTGTTTTAAATCAGAAAGCGCAGACAAATCATATACTAGATATGAACAAACAACTACTGAATAAAAAAAAAAAGCTTTTCTTGAACCCTGAAAAGCATCAGTATATATCTTTTCTCTTCGATCTATTATTTCTCTTATTTTTTATTTTCTGAAAATCATAAAACACCGACAAATCATATATCAATTCAGTACTAACAGATAGATCTGATTACTAAAGACCTATGCATCAACAGATTTGAGAGAGACATACACTAGAGCACTCAAGTCAGCAAGCCCATCTATGAAGTTGTAGAGATCCGTAATATCATAAGAGAGATTTCTGACGGCTGGATTCAACTCCTTCAGCTTTCTTTCATACATTGCACATATGCCTGTAAAATCACAGGATTAAAACCTCTATTTAAAGAGGATAATTAATACATACAAAGCATCAACAAATAAGATAATACAAAAATAAAATAGGTTGCAAATCCTGGATAAATGCACCTAATAGCCGGCCCCAAAACTGGAATAACGGTATAGCATATTCCAGGATCAGAAATCAAGGTTGTCAAGATCGAGATCTTACGTAAGATCGGGGGAGAATAATAAGATCGTAAAATATAAAATCGTAGTTAAGATCGGAAGATCCTACTCAATTATTTTTTTAAGATCGAAAGAGGATAACAAGATCGTAAAACATAAGATCACAACAAAAATTGTAAGATCCTACTAAAATGAAAAAATAATAGTATGTATTTGAAGTATTTTTACATGATATATGTAAGTAGGCAAATGTATTTGTGAGAAAACGACTCTTTTTCATATTCTTTAGAAATTTATGATTTAGGTTTTGTTGGTTAAATTGTAATTATTAGTGTCGAAACTATGTGTGTGTCGAAGTGCTAGTAGTTGTCGAAGTGTGGAAACAGTTTGTTACACAGATTTGTTTTAGATTTAGATAGATTTGATTTAGATCTAAAACATAATAGATTTGATTTAGTTCCAAAATAGGTATTTTGGTCTTTTATAGTTTTGGGTTTTGGCTTAGTGAGCAAGCTAACCTAAATCTATAAATAGAGGGAGTAACCCCTATTTTTGTAATCAAGTCAATTCATTGTATTCACAGAATTTGCAGTTGCAAGTGAATAATAAAGTTTTCCACAGTTTGTGGACAGAGAGAAACTCTGCAGAAAATAATTGTCTTGTTTCTTTTCTTTTCTTTCTCTCTTAATTCATTATCATTGTGTGGTGATATTTGGTGGATTTCCAATATCTGGTATCAAGAGCTCCGATTAATCGATTCAAGGAAAGTACCGATCAAGAATGCGAAAAAGTGAGTGATTCAGAATCTGAAAAAGAAGCTTGGGAGGTTCTTGAGAAGTCTTTTGGTGGTGCAGAAAAGGTGAAAGAAGTGAGGTTACAAACTCACAAGAGAACGTATGAATTACTTCAGATGGAAGATAGTGAGAGCATATCTGATTTCTTCACTAGGGTTACAAAACTAATGAATCAAATCAAGGTATGTGGAGAAACATTAACAACAAGAGTTGTTGTTTCGAAGATCTTGAGATCGTTTGCTCCTAAGTTCGACCACATGGTGGTGGTTATAGAAGAGAGGAAAGACTTGTCGAAGTTGACAAAGGAAGAGCTTCAAGGGACGCTTGAATCTCATGAACAAAGAGTGACTGAAAGAGCTGCAGGCAAGTCGAAGAGTGATGTGGCTTTGCAGGCACATTCAGCAAAAGAAACCAAAGGCAAAGGAAAGTGGTTCGACAACAAAGGTAGAGGTAGCTACAATAATTCGACTGGTAGAGGAAACCAGAATGAAGGAAACGTGTCGAATCAGAGAAGACCATACCAAGGCAACCAAAGAGGTGGTGTTGCAAAAAGAGTAAGAGGTGGTGGTCGAAAGCCTGACAAGAGTCACATTCAGTGTTTCAACTGTCAGAAGTATGGTCACTATTCTAGTGGTTGTCCAGAGAAGCAAAAGAATCGAGAAAGTGATGCAAAGTTCGCAAAGTATGAAGAAGAAGAGATGATGTTGATGGTTACAACAAGAGATGAAGAGAAATTCAAGGACCAATGGTACTTGAATTCAGGATGCTCATCACACATGTCTGGAAGGAAAGATTGGTTTGTCAACACGAAACCCTCAACAAAGAACACATTGAAATTTGCAAATGACAATACTCTAGCAGCTGAAGGTATTAGTGATGTGATTATGAGGAAAGACGGAAAGAAGTCAGTAATTTCCAATGTGTTGTACATACCAGGCATGAAAAGCAATTTGCTCAGTATAGGACAGTTGGTCGAAAAGAACTATAAAGTGTCGATCGAGACAAGATGAGAGTCGTCGACGCAAATGGAAGGTTGATCTTGAAGGTTCCCATGTCTCAAAATAGAACCTTCAAGATTGAATTTAATGTGATGGAGCACAAGTGCCTTTCGACTGCAACTAGCAGAGATGAATGGATATGGCATTATCGACTAGGTCATCTCAATTTCAGAGACATCAGAGATTTGAGGAGAAGAAATATGGTTTCAGGATTGCCAGAAATTGACATTTCAAACGACGTGTGTGAGGAATGTGTACAGATGAAGCAACACAAAAATAGCTTCAACAAGGATGCAGGAAGCAGGTCAAAGGCTATTCTCGAAGTCATATATTATGATATATATGGACCAATCCAGGTAGATTCGATGGGAGGTAACAAACATTTTGTTACATTCATAAATGATTTCAGTCAAAAATTATGGACTTACCTGGTCAAGAAGAAAAGTGAAGTGATTGAGGTATTTGTCAAGTTTAAGTCTATGGTCGAAAGACAAAGTGGTCGAAAGCTCAAAGTTTTGAGAACTGATGGTGGTGGAGAGTATGTGTCGAAAGACTTTGACAGGTTATGTGAAAAAGAAGGGATTGTGCATGAGGTGGTGCCACCCTACACTCCACAGCAGAATTGAACTGCAGAAAGGAAGAATCGAACCACCATCAATATGGTGAGAAGTATGTTGAAAGGCAAAAATTTACCTAAAGAATTTTGGGGCGAAGCTGTGTCGACTGCAACATACATTTTGAACAAATGTCCTACGAAGAAGCTAGAAGGAATTACTCCAGAAGAATGTTGGTCTGGTGTGAAGCCTAGATTGAAACATCTGAAGATATTTGGATCTATTGCACATAGACATGTGTTAGATCAATTGAGAAGAAAACTTGATGACAAGTCGAGTCAAATGATTCTAGTTGGATATCATTCGACAGGAGGTTACAAGTTGTTCGACCCAGTGAACAAGCAGATTGTGATCAGCAGGGACGTGATCATAGATGAGCTTAAAGAATGGGATTGGACTGAAAATATCAAGAAAAATTCAGTGGGAATCCTACTTGAAGAACCAGAAACTCAAGTCGAAAGAGAAGTTCGACAAGATGAAGTTAGACAAGAGAAAGTAAGAGATCAACCAAGTACAAGTACAAGCAGACCTCAAAGAACAAGATGCATGCCTGCAAGGTTGCAAGAATGTGTGATTACATCAGAAGATGTGGTTGATAACGAAGGTGAGCCGATACACTATGCTTTCTATGCAGATGTCGGACCAGTCAATGCAGCTGAAGCATTGAAAGATTCGAAGTGGGTGAAAACAATGAACGAAGAAGTGAAGTCTATCGAAGACAACAACACTTGATCACTTGTCGAATTGCCTCAAGACAAGAAGGCAATTGATGTCAAATGGGTATACAGAGCGAAGATGAATCCCAAAGGTGAAGTAACTCGGCACAAAGCAAGGCTTGTGGCGAAAGGATTTCTCTAGAAGGAATGAGTTGACTTCGATAAAGTTTTTGCACATGTTGCTAGAATCGAAACAATCAGGTTGGTTGTTGGTCTAGCAGAAATAAACAGTTAGCACATATGTCAGATGGACGTGAAATGTGCATTCCTGAATGGACCCTTAGACGAAAAAGTTTATATTAAACAACCAGTTGGGTTTGTGAAACATGACGAAAAGAGAAAGGTGTACAGGCTGCATAAAGCCCTATATGGATTGAAACAAGTTCCAAGAGCTTGGAATAAGAAGATTGATAGTTTTCTAAGAAAGAATTTGTGAAGTGCACAATTGAACATGGAGTATATGTAAGAATAACCAAGAGTGAATTACTTATACTATGTCTCTATGTCGATGACTTGTTAATAACAGGTAGCTGCAAGAAGGAGATTGAAGACTTCAAAGGTGATCTCAGCAAGGAATTCGAAATGTCTGATCTGGATGACATTTCATACTTCCTTGAATCGAATTCTACAAGAGCAGTAGAGGTTTGATGATACATCAAAGAAGATATACAGAAGAAATTCTCAAGAGATTTGAGATAGAAGAATGCAACTCGACTTCGACACCTGCAGAACCAAGACTGCAATTGTCGAAAGATTCAGAAGAAGATGATGCCGACCCAACCCAATACAAAAGACTTATTGGGTCACTAAGATACCTTTGTCACACAAGACATGACTTAGCATACAGTGTAGATATGGTAAGTAGATTCATGCAGAAGCCAAAGGTATCACATCTAACAACGGTGAAGAGGATACTAAGGTATCTCAAACGAACTCTCGACTATGGTATTTTGTTTCCTGCAACTGATAAAGGAAAAAAATACAAGTTAGTGGGATACACTGATTCCAGTTGGTGTAGTGATGCTGAGGATCAAAAATCCACAGCAGAATACGTGTTCATGTTATGTGGTGCACCAGTTGCTTGGAGTTCGAGAAAGGAACTAGTAGTGGCATTATCGTCATGTGAAGCAAAATACATAATTGTTTCTCTTTGTGCATGTCAAGCAACATGAATGGTAAACTTGGTCAAAGAAATAACAGGAAAAGATCATAGAGCAATTACCATGAAGATCGACAGCATGTCAGCTAACAATCTGGCGAAGAACCCGATAGCTCACAGCCGAAGCAAGCACATCGAAATGAGATTCCACTATCTTCGAGAGCAGGTAATAGATAGGAAGATGAACTTGGAACACTGCAGAACTGATAATCAGATTGCAGATATCATGACGAAGGGAGTGCGGGTCGAAGTATTTCGAAGACTAAGTAAGAGTTATGATGAATATAGATAGTTTAGACACAATGAATTAAGTGGTGTGTTAAATTGTAATTCATAGTGTCGAAACTATGTGTGTGTCGAAGTGCTAGTAGTTGTCGAAGTGTGGAAACAATTTGTTACACACATATTTGTTTTAGATTTAGATAGATTTGATTTAGATCTAAAATAGAATAGATTTGATTTAGTTCTAAAATATATATTTCGGGCTTTTAAAATTTTGGGTTTTGACTTAGAGAGCAAACTAACCTAAATATATAAATAGAGGGGGTAACCCCTATTTTTGTAATCAAGTCAATTCATTTATTCACAGAATTTGCACTTACAAGTGAATAATAAAGCTTTCCACAGTTTTTTGGACAGAGAGAAACTCTGCAAAAAATTATTGTCTTGTTTCTTTTCTTTTCTTTTCTCTCTTAATTCATTATCATTGTGTGGTGATATCAATCTTCTTTATCAAGATTGGTAGAAATTCATCATAGATATTTGGTGGATTTCCAACATTGTTGAACATTTGTTAATGTTTAGACATTAGGATATATATGTTTAATTACTAGGATTATCATAAGTCAAGTAGTTAAAACAAACCCTACAAGTGAGAAGTTTATTCTCTAAACCCTAAAATCTAAAACTTCATGCAAAAGGTGCAAATTCATCTCTGTCGGACCGTAATTGTTGTGTCTCTGCATCCTGTCATCCTTCTCACCTTTTAATGGTAGTGGTTAGAAAACGGCCAACCATGACTGAAACTGGCAAAGATCGTACAAAATCAATTATTTTACAATGTTTTTAAACAATTTGGCTACAACACGCGATTCTACTTAAGATCCGGATCATTAGAGTTGAGTGAGATCGTAGAATCTCAAGATTTTAAGATCTAGATCGAGATCTTGACAACCATGTCAGAAATAACTTAGCAGCGGCTCTGGATGCCATCCATATGTGACGCAGTGTGGAACACGGTTGAGGGGACACTATTTTACCCTATTAATAACCTATAAAATAATTTTCAAATGTATCGCCCTATATCTCCAAGAATCAGTGAATCGTTTAATTATCCACTTATAGACAGTATGTTTGATGTTTAAACTTTCCATAGACTGTCATAATTTGTTACAGTCACCCAAAAACACAATTTACATATTGTCCAAAACACTCATTCAGCCAAACATCATAAAACTTTAACAGGGACAACTAAGAATCCAATTTTGTTATAGGAATAAGACGAAGTATATCCTAAATATAAAATCCAACACAACTTGCAAAAATATTTAAAATTATAATTGGCTGGAGATGCAATATACATCATACAATATTTAAAACTCATATATACATACAAAATAGCATTAGTAAGACAGATTTAAAACTCATATACCTGCATACAAAATAGCATTAGTAAGACAAAGAACAGAGTTATTAATGGCGAATCACGGAAATTAGAGGATTGCCAAAAATCCGATACTGAGAAATACTGTAGAGTGTAGCGGATAAACGGAAGCAGCAGAGCAGTTGAAATATAAATAATTGTACAAAAAAATAAAGCATGTTGCACAGAAATAAAAGTTGCACGAACATAAATTTAAAAAGTAACTAACATAAAACTCAATCTCAATATATTTAAAGCAACTAGTAAAACATGATGCATAGTGCATACATTGTGTGAGGGAGATGAATGAGCGTAGTGGAGGACAAGCAGTTACTTGACGAAGGAAGCAGAGCGGTTAGCTTCTTTTTTTTAGGCGGTGAGATGTGACAATACCTAAGTACTGGCAGTGAGGTTTTATGCTTTGGGTATGATATATCATATCCAATAACCAACTCACCACTTATGGTTTTAAAATTTTTGGCTATCACTGCAGGTTTTGTAACTTTTTAATGTTTTAAAAAGTTTAACCACCGCTAAAACACACAACTCCGCTATTCATTACGTACCGCTATAGCTGATATACCAAAATGTGCCACTATAATGCGAATAACGGAGTTGACATATTGTATCGACTACCCCAGATTCCAATACATAATAGCAGTATAGCGGTGCTACCCTGTTTTTTTAACAACGCTGCCAAAGAAAACCTTAAATCACTTGAAATACTAGTGTAAATTAAATCCACAAGCATGGCTCACAAGAAAGATAATTAAAACTTTAAATCACACTTCAAATACTTATATAAGTTTAAATTCATTCATAAACATGATTACAAAGATTGCAAGATTATACGATTCAACAATTAACAAGAAGGATTCTAAGTGATTCAACAATTAACAAGAAGGATTCTAAGTGATTCAACAATTAACAAGAAGGATTCTAAGTGATTCCACCAAAATAGGATTATGTGTATACTCTTAATAGCTGAGGACAGGTATAATCGCGAAATCGTGATATTTTACAATTTAAATCAGGATTTTAACTACCATGTCGTCAGCCAGGAAAATAGGTTTGGCTAGAGTATAAAATTGAGACAGTATAGAAAAAGAAAATAAATCTTGAAATCACACCCAAGGTTTTATTGCATCACAGTCAAGGAGACGGCGACAATCTGCCGCCATTATTAATAAATCTCATCATTTACAATCCATCCAAAAAGAAAGTATTATTATAACAACAAGGCTTTAAGAATCTGCGATAAATTGTGAAGTGCGAACACTTTTTCAGTATCAAAGTAAGACAACAATAAAAGGCTTTTGTCACAGGATGCGGCCAGCTACATAGATCAAAACTAAACTATAACGCTCAATCATAAAATCATGTATAAAGCAAACCAATAAAAAAAAATCATTTTTAACGGTTTTATGTACAGTTTCTCTGGGCATTCTTGGACCTCTATTTTTTAGACTAATATTCATCTATCTATTCCATTTCTCTAGGCACCCTATAGTATGTTTTTCCCAAATTATTGAAAAACATAAAAATAAGCAAAACCTAAATCACCATATAAACAGAAGCATGAGAATTGAATATTACCATCCATAGCTAGAGATACAGTGTTATAATCCTTGAAAGTTCTGGTTGCTCTGTTCTGAGATGTTTGGATCAGAATAATCGTGTGTCGATTATTATTAGCCTGAGAAAAAAAAAAACATACTCGATTAGACCTAATTCGATTGAAAAGAACGAGAGTTGAATAATGAAGTGATGGAAATGTTACCATAGCAGAAGAAGAATCGGAAATCGAAGAAGCTCTCGCTCTCGTTAGACTTGAATGAAGACTGAAATGGACCCTATAGTGGCAATTTCGATATTCTAGCTTATTCAAAATATTCACATCGGAATTCGGAACCGGGGTTCTAGGGTTTACATTAACGTGGGTCAGCTTGGTTTATCTGTTTTAATAAAGTGTGTTATCTCATTAATTAATCAAGTTTCTTGCTTAGTTAATTATGTATCACTAATTTTTCTATCAAATTTAATTGGGTGATTATTGTGTATTGTTGCTTCGGATTTGGTTATGGGTTATGATTATTTAAAGTTGTCATGCTTAGTTATATTTTAAAAGTATATGTTAAAGAAAATAAGGTAGGGTTTTATCAATGGAAATATTTAGTGTTCTATTTTTTTAAAGGTATTTAGTGTCTTTTTTTCTTTTATAAATCAGGTATTAGAATCTTTTACGCGCAAGTGCATAGACTAATCACTTAAGTCTTATAAGAATATAATAGACGATAAACTCTCTCTGAGAAATTTAACATTGTTGTGACTCCAGAGTTGAATTCAAACTCAGAATCTTTGTCGTCTCATCTAAATACTTTTGAGTCTTTTTTTTCTTTTTATCTCACATGTTTATCGTGTCTTCATTAAATGCACTAAAGTTAAAGAAAATTGGTTTTATTTTAATTTGGATATTAATTTCAACATCATTTATCACATCAATATTATCAATATTGATAAATTATGTTATAAACATCGTAGATTACTACCATGACCCATATTACCTCTATCATGTGGTGTAAAAAAATTTTTAAGAAATTTGAGGATAAGGAAATACCTATTATGATTTTAACTCAGAAGGTTTGACAAGTTTCCAGCACCTAATAAAAGAATTGCATCTAAATGATCATCGGCAAGGTAAAATGAGCTCGATTAAAGACCATCATTCATATTATACGATTGCTCAAAAATAGCACAGGAAATTCCAAATCATATATGAAAATAAAAAATTAAAGTTAATTACATAAACAATGAAGACGAGGAAGATAGAAAATGGGAATGGACCAAACCTAGTCAGAAATTTATGAAAATCAATAGTGATGCAGATTTATTCGAAGACATCAACTAAGGTTGCAGAATCGTCATTAAGGATGAGCACGAAGATATGGTTGTGGTAGCAATAAAGAAGACTTGTGGCTTCATGGACATGTTGGTTGTAAAGGCATCTAACATGCTTAAAGCTTTGAGGCTTGCAAAAAAAACCATGGGATTCATCGTATTGAAGTGAAATCAAGATATTTGAGTCTCATATATTTGATTGAGAAAAATATTAAGTCGACAGGATATATACAAAATTTTGTGAAGTCGATAAATGAAATTAGGGTTATAGATGAGAAGATCTTATTTAGGTCGTGGGTCGGGTTAAGAATCGGACTAGCCATTATTTTCCCCAATACGTTTTGGATTTTCCAACAAAATTTGGGTTACATATTCCCGGCCCTATTAAAAACATTTTAATATTCAAATATTATTCATAAAATTAGTTTATATATATATATATATATATATATATATATATATATATATATATATATATATATATATATATATATATATATATATATATATATATATATATATATATATATATATATATATATATATATATATATATATATATATATATATATATATATATATATATATATATATATATATATATATATATATATATATATATATATAAAGAAAAGTTTATGGAATATTGATAGATACAAGTTATGATTGAATTTACTCTTAAACTCAAGAAAAATATTAATTAAATTTACATACGATCGCCCATGTAAAAAATGAGGTGATCAGAATATAAGATTTATCATGATGTCCTTTAAAGAAAAGCAATTAAATTTATTCGAAGAAGAAATTATTAGCTATTCTAAAATCAAATATCATATTTTTCATGGAGGTTCTGATCAACAATAAGAAAAGAAAACTATGACCACGTGTTGATGGTCTTAACATTACATTTCAAGATAATGAATGAAACCAAGAGTCTCATTCTTGGAAGAAAACACTAATAGTCACTCACATGGAAAAAAAATTGAAAATTTTAAGATATTAGAACTATATCCAAATGTAATGGACCAAAAAGGGTAAGGTTAAGCTAGTGGATATGGAAAACAACAGGTAAAGATTATTTCCATTTCCTTAAAAAAACTGAGAATTCCGTTACTATAGTTTTATGTATATAAAGTTAAATAAATATTAATTATATGTCATATGTCTTAGATATGTGTGTTTTTATTGAGAATCAAGTGTGAGGAAAAAGTCTCACATTGATTAAAAAATGGAAGATTAAACATTTTATAAGTGAGAGAATCCATACACCTATTATCTTAAGGTTTTGGGTGGATATGTGACGTGTCTCTCACAAAATGTGTGTTCCAAGTAGAATGCTCCCTCCCCAAATTGCCCTTAACAGTGGTATCATGAGCCTTTGGTTTCGAGATAGGGATCAACTTACTTGTATCGAAGCACTTCCCGCAAATAGTGGATAGATTTTACTAGCAACATTTCATAACATGCACAATTTGGTTGTTCATACTATCAATACAAATTAATTTATTGTATTTAATCCTTAAATTTATTTTAATTTGATTAAGAAATGCGCACTCGAAAGTAGTACTCATGCCTACGTATGCACGAGTTTGTGATTAGATTGAAAGAAAAAACACAGAAACTTGTAAATTTAATATTATTAAAAAATAAATACAAAACAAACTATTTTCGTGTATACCATTCGTGTAATTAATCAACATAATTTATAATTTATACAAGAATATTCTTATACAAAAATCTTCCATGTATAGTGATTAACATTTGTAACACAACCAAATTTCTCTAAACTTCAACTTTGGCATTGATAGGAACAAGCTCCAAGGTCTCTTCATCAACATTACCATTTCTCTTATCCATTTCACAACCATCAGAAGGAAGCAATCCTTCATAAGGTCCTACATTAGGAACAAGAAAAACCAAAACAAGTGTAACAAATCTAAGAATGTCCCTTATAAGAACAGCCAACCATAAGTTGTTAAAATCACTTCTGGTAATATGAAGGACACGTAGAAGTAACCCTCCGCCCCATTTGGATATAAGCATACCAATGCTATCAATACACATTAAAAGAGCAAAAAATGTTCCTTCAATTCCTAGAGGACATAGTTTTGCGCTCAGTACCATCATTGGCATCCACCTTATTTTGCCTGTGATTCTAACAGTGGTTTCTTCGATGACAACAAAAAAGTAGTCAGGGATTCCAATTTTCAAATTCCAACGTAGAACGAAGATCAAGTCCAATACACCTGATACTGCATATAGGAGTTGTGCATAGAATACTAGGTTTCTAAATGTGTAGTTTTTTAGATACTTGTGGTAGATTAGAACACCTATTATTGAAGCCACTGCTCCAATTGCATAGATTACCCCAACAAACTCCTGCATGTGTAAAAACAAAAGAGCAAAACTCAATTAGAAAAATAAATGGTTTTGAAAAAATTGTCACTTCTTAAGTTTCATTTTGGATATACAGTTAATACGATACTTTTGACATATATTTATGTATAAGTTATTTCTGCAACAAAAGATAAAGTACAGTTAAATTGTTTTCAATTAAGCTCTTTTGATGAGTTAATTTTTTTTGAGAGTTTATAGAAATAAACTGAAAACAAATTATAAACATGCCATAAGCATTTTCCACAAATTCTCTATAACAATCTCCGCAAGTGCTTAGGGTAACACGCAAGTTCAAATACACCAATCCAAACAAGTCCTCAGTGATCTGCAAACAGAATATGGGATCGGGATTGCTTGAAGTAAAAAATCCCTTTAGTCACTGCAGTTAGCTAATCTAAGCAATTGAATACAAATTGTAAATTCAGTAAACAGATCTCAACTGTCTGCAATAACCGAGATCTTTACTGCAGTTACTACTAACTGTGAAGAATCTATTTCTCAAAATTTGAAAATACAGTAAAAAATCTTATCAGTCACTGCAGTTAACTTATCTAAGCAATTGAATACAAATTATAAGTTTGGAAATTTGGCCTCAACCGTCTAATATACATCAATAGTTAACATCTTAACGGCAGTGACTACTGATCATATAGAATCAATTTTCCGAAACATGAGAGGTACCTGAGAGAATGCAGGACCGGCTTTTGAATCAGTATACCAGTAAAAATGACCTTCATGAGTGGTTACATTAAGAGAAAGGGAAAGGAACATATAAAGAGAAGGCTTCCATGCTTGAGGATACTTTATTGTTTTGAACATGCTTCTAATTGTCATTCCTACATTCTCCATTGCTCCCTGCAAAATCCAGCGTGTTTAGTTCGATCATCAAGCTAATTTAATTTAGCATTTACTAACTAAGTTTAAGGGGGGGGAAACTTATGACAAAACATTATGATATGAGTTGATTCAAGTAAACTGATTTCACTTTGTGCAAACAGGATCATGAAAATTCCTAACCTGCTTCTTTTCATTATGCAAGCCAGTGGCTTTTTTTTCATAGATCACAAAACCCAGTACAATAGTCAAAGCAGGAAAAATTGCCATAAGACCAAGTGACCCCTAAAAAACAACGGAAACATCCCATTCAGACATTTTCACAAACAGTTGGTGAAAATTAATCATAAGAACAAAGAACATATTTTTACAAACCTGTGGACCAAGATGATGAACAAAGAATCCACTAACAAGGTACCCAAGAAGAGCCCCAGAACCCGAACAAAATCCACACAAGCTCTGCAAATCAGGAGCCAAACCCGGAACCTCAATACTATTCCTTGCAATACAAGCATCAATAGTAACATCCGCAATAGCAAGACTAGCAGAAACACCAAGAAAACACATCAACGCCGCGACAGGAGCAAGGCTTCCTGTCACCGCAACCACAGAAGCAGACACGAATCCAAGAACTCCGGCGAGGATAAAATACGGCCGGCGACGGTAACCCAGTAACGGAAAAGCGTCGGTGAGAATCCCCCAAACGGGTTTGAGAATCCATGGAATGAAGTAAATGCCAACGTAGAGTTGAACGGTTGAAGGTTGGATTTTTTGAATGTCTTTCCAGTAATAATCTGAAACGAGTTTGAAGAATGAACCGGAGAAGCCTTGGCCTATGCCGTAGATTAGGAAAATTCCTGCTATGAAAGATGGGTTGAGATTGTGTGTTAGCATTGTTAACCATTCTATTGGTTGGGTTAGGATTGATATGAATGGGTTTTTGGTTCTGTTTGTTGATGTTTTTGTTATTGTTGTTGTTTGATCTTGGTGAGTTGTCATGGTTGAGTACTTGAGTTTGTTGTGTTAATAGTAAAAGTTGAATTTTATCATTTTTTGGATTTTGAGGAAATGGATCTCAAGGTGGAGGGAGTGATGAGATGGAATTAGAAGGTTTTTGGTTTGACTTGAAAAGTTAAGAGATAGTTGAATTTGGGAGGGACTGTAGTTCTACTCAAATTATTAATTGGGTATGCATTTGCAACTTGTATGTGATTCTTAAGTTAACTATGCATAACTAAGTCAACACATACAAGTATTATTAGGTTCAATATTTTATTTTGAATTTAAAACTTTAAAGTTCTTTATGTGTAAATTTGTAGTGATTATTTATTGTTGTAAATTTAAGTATCACATAGGTCTTCCAATTAAAAAATGTGTGTTTGCATTGGGAACAGATATGATTGACTTTAACATAATTGAATTTGATAGAATTCATTCTAGAAGAATTAAGTTTAATAAAATTACATAATTGAATTTGATAGAATTCATTCTAGAAGAATTAAGTTTAATAAAATTGATTTATGTTTGGATTCATTTATATAAAGTGAGCTAAGAAATATATTTAGATGTAAACTCGAAATCAATTTTAGAGGCAGAAGTTACAAATTCTAATTTCAAATAGAATTAGTTTTGGATGCATGATTAATTCTACTTTTGATAAACCAAACACCTCAAAATCATTCCGAATTAATTCTACACATCTAGAATTGATTTTGAGTCTTTCAAAAATCAATTCAAACATGCTAAAAGTCAATTTTATTTTTGTTTTTAAGTTTTTCTTTAATTTTAACTATGTAATTTCAAAACAATTGATGTTAATATATAGGCTTAAATGCAATTTTGCCCCTCAAAATTTTCAATTGCTTGATTTTGATCCCTCAAGTTTCAATTGTTTGGTTTTGGTCTTCAAATTTTCTAATTGCTTAATTTTGATCCTCAAATTTCAATTGTATGGTTTTGGCCCTTAAAATTTATCTCATTTTGCATTTGATAGCCCCCTAATGACATGTAAACTAAACTTCTTTTTTTTGTTACTTTTTCTCTATTTTTTAAAAAAATTCTTCTCTATAATTCTATTTTTCTTCTCTTTTTAATAGTTAAGCTTTGAATGTAATATCTTGAAAATAGTAAATATTTCATTCAGCATATGTCTAATGGTAAATTATTTTGACAACAAAAAAGATAGATCACTAGCTAATTAAAATAACAATCCTTTGACCAAATAAGTCTCTTATATTTAAGCATAAAGTCCCAAAATCTAACAATCTTATTGATCATATAGAATTTCAATCTTTTTATAAGGGATATTGTAGACTTGTCTCTATATTCTAAAATAATTTTGTTAAAAGGCTCACACATGTTATCGGTTAAAGAGTCTCTTGTTTTAATTAGCTAATGATTTGTCTTTTTTGTTGTCAAAATAATTTACCATTAAGCATATGTTGAATGAAGTTATTAAGATTTTCAAGATATTTCGTTCAAAGCTTAACTATTAAAAAGAGAAAAAAAAAATAGAATTATAGAAAAGAAAATTAGAAGAAAAAAAAGAAGTAAAAAAGAGAAAAGTAAAAAAAAAAATCCAGTCTACATGTCACTAAGGAACTATCAAATATAAAAGGGAACAAATTTGAAGAGTCCAAATCAAGTAATTGACAAATATCATGGGCCAAAATCGAGCAATTGAAACTTAGAGGCTAAAATCAAACAATTTTGAAGACCAAAATCAAGCAATTGAAACTTGAGAGACCAAAATTAAGAATGGAAACTTGGAGGGCCAAAATTACTTGTAAGTCTAATATGTATTCTAATTTACTTTAGGTTTAATTATATTTTGATCCTTCAATGTTATCTAATTTACAAATTGATCTCCTTATTTTAAATTTAAACAGTTTTGGTTTTTTTCTTATAACTTTGTTAAAAGACTCACACATGTTATTGGTTAAAGAGTATATCATTTATTTATATGATTTAATTAGTTAGTGGTTTATTTTTTTGTTGTCAAAATAATTTACCATTAAGTAAATGTTGAATTAAGTTATTAAGATTTTCAAGATATTTCGTTCAAAACTTAACTATTAAAAAGAGAAGAAAAATAGAATTGTAGAGAAGAAAATTAGAAGTAAAAAAAAGTTTAGTCTACATGTCACTAAAGAACTATCAAATGCAAAATGGGACAAGCTTGAAGAGCTCAAATTAAACAATTGACAAACTTCCGGTGACAAACTTCCGGGACCAAAATCGAACAATTGAAATTTAGAGGACTAAAATCAAATAATTTAAGAGACCAAAATCAAACAATTGAAACTTGAGGAACCAAAATCAAGAAATTGAAAAACTTGGAGGGCCAAAATTGCTTTTAAGCCTAATATGTATTCTAATTTACTTTAGATTTAATTATATTTTAATCCTTCAATGTTATCTAATTTACATAATTAATCTCCTTATTTTAAATTTAAACAGTTTTGGTTTTTCTGTTATAATTTTACACTTAAAATTAAGGATGTTTTCATTTTTTAAATGACAAGTTTATTGTGAAACATGACAAACCATTGTATATAAATTGTTTGTTGAATTTTATAGATAAAAATATAAATTAAAAAATAATTATTTAAAATTTTCTATGAATAACATAAAAAAAAAAGACTAAATCAATTGAAATTTAAAATAAATAATTAATTTCGTAAATCAAATCAAATTAGGGGATAAAAAATATAATTTAACCTTTATTATATTTGATTTATAAATAGTGAATTTAAAATTAAAATTTGATATACATTTTGACATGCGTTTTGAATATATATATATATATATATATATATATATATATATATATATATATATATATATATATATATATATATATATATATATATATATATATATATATATATATATATATATATATATATATTATATATATATATATATATATATATATATATATATATAGGTAAAATATTTATTTTTGTCCCTTAACTATAGGTCATAGTTCACTTTGGTCCTTTTTTTTTTTTCCGTATCAAATTGGTCCTTTAATTTTCTAAAAGATTCAAACAAGTCCATTTCGTCAATTGGCCTCCAACGTCATTTATTTTTGTTACGTGGCAGGGTGAGCTGGCAGATTTCATCATCTTTCATGTACTTCAATATGCGTTCATCATCTTAGTGCAGTGTCTTGAGTTGCTGCAAAATCTCATTCCCAAAATATTCTTTACGTTCTTCATCTTTGTACCCATCATCTTCTTACATTCCCAACATTTCCAAAACAAAGAACCAACCCAGAATCATTTCGACTCTTTCTCCATGAATACGAAGCATTCATCTTCCCAAACGAACCTGAAGAAATTTGAAAGTGTTGGGTCATGTGTATACAGTAGCTCGCGAATTATATAACTTTGTCGTTGTGGAGACAACGATGTTCTTCTTCGTAGGGCAACCACTGAGAAGAATTATGAAAGGAAAATTTGGGTTGTCACAATTACAAGGTAAGCCCTAATTTTTGTTTGGGTATGTTAAAAGATGATAAACAGAGCTTGATCAATTTTTGAATTTGCAGGGATCCTTGCAAAGAGGATGTGGCTTCTTCGATTGGTTTCATGAGAAATTGGCAGAAGACATAAACCAAATATTGATTAATATATTGGAAAGCATAGCAAAGGATTTAGATGAAACTAAGAATCAGTAGTAAAAATTGAGGGTTGGAAATGAAGAATTAGGAGATGTTGTGTTAGAACTTCAAATTCAACTGAATAAGATGTTGAAGTGAAAAAAATCATTGAAGATTATGTATTTTGTAATGTTATGTGTATTTGTCATTAAGTTGTATTATGAGTAGGAGTATGTAGCAACTTTGTGTGTAATTTTAACACAGATTATGAGTAATTCTAACACAGTTTATCAGTTTATGACGATTATGTGCAACCTTATGTGTAATTTTAACACATTGTATCAGTTTAATATGACTTATTTTGTTTGACATATCATTAATTGTAGAATATGAGTTTGACATATCATTAATTGTAGCAACATAATTTTGAGAATTACTAGTAAATAAACACATCAGATTAATTGAACTTAAATATGAAGTTGGCATGTTACATAGATATGTTCCAAAATACATAGACATGTTCCAAAAGTTTGACAGAATAAACATGTTACATAGACATGTTCCAAAAGGTTGACAAAATGACATATTACATAGACATGTTCCAAGAGGTTGACAGAATGACATGTTACATAGATATGCTCCAAAATACATAAAGCCTAAAATTATTACTAGATGGTCCTCTTTGATGTGCTTCTCTTGGTTGGAGTATATCGCTTGGTGGTAGGACCAGTTGTATTCTTGGCTACTGAGAGTCTTATTGTTGGTCCCGGGGGTACAAAGGGCCTTCTCACACCTAGTTTTTGTAGCTTTTCAGTTCCTCTAGCTTTCTCCTTTGGGCCTTACCCTGGTATTGCCTTTCCTTGTGAAGACTTAGTTGCATTCATGTATTCCTGTGTAGCTGATGCTTGTGTTGCAGCAACCTGACTTACAATGATTTGAGATGCAAAAACTTATCTTGTCCCAATCTAACTTACATTGGTCCCCAACCTGACTTGCATTGCCTTGACTTGCATTGTCTTGAGTTGCATTACCTTGACTGGCATTACCTTGTGTTACATTATCTTGAGTTTCATTGCCTTGAGTTGCAGTGCCTTGTGTTGCAGTGCCTTGTGTTTCAGTTGGTGTGACCTTGCAGGTTTTCTTGTTATGTCTAGTTTTCTTGCACCTATAGCACTTTATAATAAAGCCAATGCTTCTCAATTTTCTGTCAGTGCCATCAATCTCCCATTGCTCAAGTTTTCTCCTTTTCTTTGGTCTACTAGGCATCTTTCTAAACTTAGGTGGCTGCACATTTGGATATGGGGTTTTGGCTCATATATTGGATCTATTCACAGGATAAAGCACATACCTATATACTGTCTTGTACCTAGATACCATATAATCATCTGGAATA